TAGACAAAGGGCTATTATCCAAGATTTATAAAGAACTCCTCAAACTCAACACGCAAAAAACAGATAATCACATCAACAAATGGGCAGAAGACATGAAGAGACACTTCTTCATATATACATACAAGGAAGACATACAAATGGCTAACAGACACATGAAAAATGTTCATCATCTTTAGCCATGAGGGAAATTTATATCAAAACCACATTGAGATACCACCTTACACCAGTCAGAATGGCCAAAATCAACAAGACAGTAAACAATAAGTGTTGGAGAGGATGTGGAGAAAGGGGAACCCTGTTACACTGTTGGTGGGAATGCAAGTTGGTGCAGCCGCTTTGGAAAACAGTGGGAAGATACCTTAAGAAATTAAAAATAGAGCTACTCTATGACCCTACAATTACACTACTTCAAGATACAGATGCAGAAAAGAAGGGCCATCTGTACCCCAATGTTCAAAGCAGCAATGGCCCCAGGTGCCAAACTGTGGAAAGAGCATGATGTCCTTCAACAGATAAATGGATAAAGAAGATATGGTCTATATATACAATGGAGTATTATGCCTCCATCAAAAAGGATGAATACCCAACTTTTGCATGAACATGGATAGGACTGGAGGAGATTATGCTAAGTCAAATAAGTCAAGCAGAGAGAATCAATTATCATATGGTTTCACCCACTTGTGGAGCATAAGGAATAACAGGGAGGACATATGTTGAACGAGAGGAGAAGTGAGTTGGGGGAAATAGGAGGAGGTGAGGAACTATGAAAGACTGTGGAATCTGAGAAACAAACTAAGGGGTTTGGAGGGGAGGGGATTGGGGGTTGGGGTTAGCCTTGTGGTAGGTATTATGGAGGGCAAGTATTGCATGGAGCACTGGGTGTGGTGCATAAACAATGAATCTTGGAACACTGAAAAAATTAAAAAAAAAAAAAAAAGAATGAAACTTGACCCATATCTTATCTTATACCAAACATTAAACTCAACTCAAAATGGCTTAAGGACTTGAGTGTAAGACATGAAACTTTTAAAACCCCTAGTTGGGGGGGGGGAACGACAAAAAAACAAAAAAAACAACAACACATGGCCTGAGTGCATTGACATTGGTCCTGGCAATGAATATTTTTGGATTAGACAAAATCCAAAAGCAACAAACAACAACAAAAGCAGAAGTAAACAATTTCAAACTACAAAGCTTCTGCCCAGCAAAGGAAACCATTGACAAATGAAAAGGGAACCAACAGAATGGGAGAAGGTATTTGCAAATCTTATATCTGATAAGGGTTTAATAGTCAAAACATATAATAATTTCATATAATTCAATAATAAAAATAAGATCCAATTTAAAAATGGGCATCAGGGTCCCCTGGGTGGCTCCGTTGGTTAAGCAGCTGCCTTCAGCTCGGGTCCTGATCTTAGGGTCCTGAGATCGAGCCCCACATTGGGCTCCCTGCTCAATGGGTAGTCTGCTTCTCCCACTCCCTCTGCTCCTCCCTCAGCTTGTGTTCTCTTGCTTGCATGTTTTCACTCTCTCTCAAATAAATAAATAAATAAATACTCTTAAAAAAAAAAATGTGCATTAGAATTGAATAGACATTTTTACAAAGAAGACATCCAAATGGTCAACAAGCATATGAAAATGTCATTTTTATTATTTTTATTTATTTTTTTATTATTTATTATTTTATTATTCAATGTCACTAATCATCAAGGAAATGCAAATCAAAATCACAATGAAATATCACTTCACACCTATTAAAATGGCTATCATCGGGGTGCCTGGGTGGCTCAGTGGGTTAAAGCCTCTGCCTTCGGCTCAGGTCATGATCCCAGGGTCCTGGGATCGAGCCCTGCATCGGGCTCTCTGCTCAGCAGGAAGCCTGCTTCCTCCTCTCTCTCTGCCTGCTTCTCTGCCTACTTGTGATCTCTGTCTGTCAAATAAATACATTCTTTAAAATGGCTATCATCAAGAAGACAAGAATAAGTATTCATAAAGATATGGAGAAAAAGGAACCCTTGAGCACTGTTGTTGGGAATGTAAACTGGTATACCCATTATACAAAACAGTATGGAGATTCCACATAAAAGTAAAGATAGAACTATCATATGATCCTGCAATCCTACTTTTGAGTATTTATCCAAAGGCAATGAAAACAGGATATCAAAGAGAAAAAGCTGTACTTACATATTCACTGCAGCAATATCCACAATAGCCAAGATATGGAAACAACCTAAGTGTGCTCAACAAATGGATGGATAAAGAAGATGTGATATATACACAATAGAATACCATTCTGTCTTGAGAAAAAAAGTAATCCTGCCATTTGTGACAATGTGGGTGGACCGAAAGGGCATTATGCTAAGTGAAATAAGCCAGAAAAAAACAAATACTGCATGGTATCACTTACAGATGAATCTTTAAAAAAAAAAAGTCAAACTCATAGAAAGAGAGAATAGAAAAGTGGTAGCCAGGGGCTAAATGATGAGAGAAAGAAGGAGAGACTGGTAAAACTAAATTTTCAGCAAAATAAGTAAGGTCTGAGGATCTAAGGCTCTCATGTAAAACACGGTGACCATGACTGATAACACTGTATTGGATAATTGAAAGTTGCCAAGAGAGTAGAACTTAAATGTTCTCACCAAGATAAAAAAGAAAGTTGTTGAATTACATTTTGCTTTTAATTTTCCATTCTAACTAACATAAATAGTGCTACTCTGAGGATTAATTCTTGCTACATCAAATCCCGAGTCAAAATACATTTATATGAAAGGTCAGAGAAATTATCAGAAGTAAGAATGACAAACTTTTCACTAGTTTCAGAAGGATAATATCTAATTGGAATATCTCAGTTTTCCTTATTATATCAATAACATTTAACTCTGATTATACAATGTTATATAGCCAGATACATTTTTAGGGAAGAGTGAAAAACAACATTAGGACAGAGAACAAACTGATGATTGTAGGAGGGAAGGGGATGGAGTTGATGAGCGAAATGGGTGAAGGGGAGGGGGAGATACAGACTTCCAGTTATGGAATGAATAAATGACAGGAATAAAAGGTACAGCATAGCGAATACAGTCAATAATACTATAATAGCATTGTATGATGATAAATGGAAGCTCCACTTGTGGTGAGCATTGCGTAACATGTAAAGAAGTTGAATGACTATGTTGTACACCTGAAACTAATGTAACATTGTGTGTCAACTATACTCAAAAGAAATAAAAAACAAATAAACAAAAACAAATAAAATGAGCAGAGAATCTAAATAGACATTTTCCAAAGAAGATATAGATGACTGACCAGTAAATGAAAAGACGTTCAACATCAATAACCATCAGGGAAATGCAAATCAAAACCACAATGAGATATCACCTCACACTTGTTAGAATGGCTGTTATCAAAAAAACAAAAACAAGAAATAACAAGTGTTGATAAGGATTTGGAGAAAGGGAATACTTGTGCACTTTCAGTGGAAATGTAAATTGGTGTAACCTACAGAAAACGGTATGGAGGTTCCTCAAAAAATTTAAAAAAAGAAAAAACTACCTTATGATCTAGGAACTCCACTCCTGGCCTTTCCAAAGAAAATGAGAACACTAACTCTAAAAGATATATGTATTCTCATATTCACTGCAGGATTATTTACAATAGCCAACACATGGAAACAATGTTTAATTGTGCATTAATGAATAAATGGATAAACAAAAAAATAGTAATATATACCTAATGGAATATTATTCAGCCATAAAAAAGGAACTTTCCATTTGGAACAAAAATAGATGGACCTTGAGAACATTATGCTTAGTGAAATAAGAGAAATGCATCTATAATCTCATTTGTATGTGGAACCAAAAAAAAATTTACAGAAACACAAAACAGATTGTAGTTGCCTGAGATGGGGAGGACTAGAGTGAGGCTGGGGGGCAAAACACATGTAGTTGGTAAAAAGGTACATGCCTCAGTTACAAAATAAATGAGTCTTGGGGATATAATGTACAACATAATGGCTATAGCTTAATAATACTAGCCTGAATATATGAAAGTGGCTAAGAAAGTAAATTTTCAAAGTTATTATCACATGAGAAAAACTGTAACTATGTATGGTGACTAGTCACATTTTGGTGATTCTTCTGAGTATATGCAAATATAGAATCATTCGTTATACCTCTGAAACTAGTATGTTACATCAATTATACTTCAAAAAATAGAGAAAAAAAACATTGGGGACTTACTGTTCTAGATAATAACAGTAGAGATAACATAAACATGTAATTATCTCTATACAATAGCCATTTCAATAAAATCTAGCATGTCTGAGTCACTCATCCTTGGGGCAAATTGTTTTCCACTAAAGATATTTGAACTATCACATTCCATTATTGTTTCATCCTCTTCTTGGTTTCTCCTTCTATCATAGCTTTCAGTCAAAAATGGTTTTATGTAAACTGGGAATATGGCTAGGTGGGGAAACCAGATATGTGAAGATCTGCTGATAATATGAATTTAATTTCATTAAGGAAAACTGGCTTATGCTTGCAAATTTCCAAAAAGGAAATTAAATAGCAATTCCATGAAACTACTAAAAATGTACTTTGAAACTAAAACTTTAAAATACTTTAATATATTGCACATATTGCATAGAAAATGAATCCCTATTAAAATTTCTAAAAACTAATAATTCTCTTAAAATATTTAGTGCTTTGTCTTGTTTTTAAGACTGGAAAATGAATTATTGATTTCTCATCACTGAAACCCACTGAGTCAAACATGATAACTGGCAACCTGTCTCTGACTAAAATTGTAGCACCACTACATTTCTAATATATACCATCTAAATACAGGTTAAAGAGTTTTATATAAAAAGATGCAGGTGCTCAGCCAGCTTTTAGAAATCAGCTTCAGTGCTTAGAGCCAGTTATAACACACACAATACTTACTGTACTTCAAAAAACAGAAAAGGAATTCATGCCTATTAATCACACTCTGATTCTCACCTCCTCTGCATCAGTACTGTTTAGTTCTTCTGCTTTAATTTTATTATAAGTATCCAGTATATCAGTACAGCTCTGATCCCTAAGAAATAAGAAAGTCAAACACTTCAATATATATTTTTTAAAATCAGAAATCAGCTCTTGTGGAAGATAAAGCTGCTACTTACCCAATAAATCGAAGTAAGACATCAGTTACAATTTTGGCTGCTTTAACTATAGGACTGTCTGGTTCATTGAAAGTCCTGGCATTATGCTCAATGTAGCGCACCTCCCACATTAATGCTGATATTCTCCTATGAAAGAAAAACATATCCTGTTACTCTTGGTTGATACATTTAGAGTCTATTCTAAGAATATACAACATAGAACAACTAGGCACTCAATCATGGTATGTCAAAGGTGTTCTACTATCTGCATGTGACTTAATACATGTGTATAATGGATGCTCACTAATAAAGGTATATAGTTAGAGTATTTGAGCACAGGTAAGCATTAAGAATCATTGGACTTCACATTAAAAAGAACTGACCCAGGACATTATGGGGAAATAGTGATTTAACCATTTAAGTATAAACACAAAGAAACAGTGTTTTGATAAAGTCCAAAGAATGTTTAGTTTTCAAGGGAAGAAATGAGAACATCATGGAAAAAAGAAACCAGGTTTTAGAAAAAGATTTTTATCCAGTTACTTTTATGATATGTTTTATTAAATGAAAATTACAGGTAATGTTATAAAATACACCTAACTGGTTATATTTATAACCAGTTCATGTTGGGATGAATAACTATGGTTAGGATATAGTAGACTTTGGGGTGAGAGAGGTACCAAAAGCTGCCCTCTACCGCTCTCTCAAAATTACTCCACTCCCAAATGAAACCAACAAAAAAATTACTTGGCTCTTTATCTAAACATATTTTGGGGCTGTTAATTAAATCTAGCTGCTACCTAATTCCTCAACAGGGGATTTAATCATGCTCCAAGTTTCTGTAGCACCTTAATTATGATGAATCCACAAATTATTTAATTTGCCTCTAATTAAACTAAAGTTAACTGTAGTTTTTGTTTCACATGTGATTTGTGCTACTCAAAATTTCATTCCTGTCCTTTATTCCATACTCCTTCTTACTCTGGAAGACTGAGAATCTACTGAATAAAGGGAAATGAGTGTTCCCAATTTTTAGAAGAAATTTTGGAGTGGGTATATTGAATGATTATTTTACACTACTAAAATACAGATCTCACTGTATCATCATACAAAAAGGAAAACAAAAGATGTGAAGCTACGAACTTTATAGTAAATAATAAAACTAAACAAACCTGTAAAAGCGATTTTCAAGTCTCCGCCTAATGGTGTTGAGGTCAGTTGGATAAGCAACTACAGTACAATACAAGGGATAGGCACTGAGATCCACTGGAACAGCAAAAGGGCTGGCAAAATCTAGAATATTACAAAAATAAGAAAAGGTAGTTGTAAAAGACATTAATATTTCATATTAACAAACAAAAAAATCATATATAAGTAAGAAGAGAGGGCAATATACTACATTACTAAAATGATAATGATTCAATTATGCAAATATTAGATGAATATTGTTAAAATGTCATTCTCTTTATTTGGACATAATATCTATGAATCATGAATGACACACTGGTTCAAATCAGGTGAAATCAGACTAATTAAAGGAGAACTGGTTTTAATTTCAAACTGGTATGTTTTCTAGATAAATCCCAAATAGCTCAAGTGATACATTTTAGATAATATAGCTTAGGCATGTGAGTAAAATATATTATTCATCTACTATCTACCAAAAAACTCATCCAAGGTCAGGCTCAGGAAATACTTGGAGAGCCAAAGTGATTCAAGAAAGTAAAAGATAATTACATGCCTATTTTTACTACTGTAAGCCCCCAGAGAATAGAATACATTTATCAGTCATTACATTGGCCAAACATATCAAAATATTAATGTTAAGCTAGAAACACTTGATTAAAAGTGCCTCTTAAGTTAAAAGTGTACAGTGAAAAAATGTATTTCTTCTTGTAGAACTTAAAATTTTGCTGGTTTTCCTTGTTTCTTCCTAATATCCTTTCACAGCCACCATACCCAGGGAAAGAAGGTGGTTGATGCCCTGAATAACCCGTTCACATTCCTCATCTCTGGAATGAGCCCCCCATTCTCCTTCCTGGGGTTTGTATAGCAAAGCAGTCAGTTCCTCCTGGGACACAGGAACACCAGCACCAACTTCATCTGGAAAGGCAGCTATGTAAGATGAAAAATCAGGAATCATTAGTTTCCAATATTATGCTATTGATATGTTTTAGAAGAATTATAATTCATTTTTAAAAGCATATTTACTTCCTTCTGGAATTGGCTCCATATCCCAGGGGCTCATCTTTTCTCTCTCATTATTGTCCCAGCTATTAAAAAATAATAAGATACTAATGAAATTCACATGACACTTTCATATACTAGCATAATTTGCATGACTTCTTGGGGTAAAATTCTGAAAAGGGCAATACAATTTTCCTTAAAGTATAATTTCACTTACATAAAGATAGTAATAAACCTTTAATAGAGAAAACAAAAAAAATAGAGAATAGTCCACCAATAGGAAATACAAAGAGCAGTAAGCTTACATTTAGTTTTACCTGGCTTTTTAAAAAAAATTCCAATCGAGCATATATTCAATATTAAGCCAGGATACAGAATGAAAAGATCTTTTTGGAAAATGTCTTTCAGGTTAAAAAAGTCAATTTGATAGATCAATTCTTTCTGTAGGATAATCTACTTTATCCTAACAGACTAAGTATTACAGTATCTCCAAAGTTTTATGATTCCCTTTTCATCAGCAATATGGAGATTAAAAGTCAATCTTCACAGAATAAACCTTTATCATTCTTGAGAAGAAAGCTTCATTATTAGGAATCTTACAGTGATGGGATTTAATGAAGAACTAAAGTAAATGTTGTAGACAAATAGTACACCCAAATATGATACCTCTGCCTAGAATTCATACCATTAAATAAAAGACTGGGTACTAATATTTATTGCTATATTCCAGCTATAACAATTACTTTAAACATTGAATTAATTTTAGTATTCTTCCTGAAATAATATTTGTAATTCTTGTTTAAAACAGAAATATTTAAAAGAAAATACAGGCATAAGGGAGGTAGAAATAAGTCTTCAGTTCCTGCTTTGTTTTAGCATGTATATTGGACCAAGAGGTTTATCATAAAATTCTTTCCTTACAGGTACTATGATTACTTCTTTACAGGTCAGATAAAGATAAGTCAAATTAACAAGGTGTTATTCCTAATAGGGTTTACAGAAAGTCCATATAGTACTACAGTATTATATCAGGCATAAAATACCATAACTGTACTTACTGAACACTGTAACACTGGAAAGAACTATCAGGATACTCTGGTTGAAAAGGCTGCTGACTCTCCACAGTCCCAAACCACCAGGCGTCATCTATTATACTGCGGAATCTATCACCTACAATGTTTTTAGAAATTCTTAAAAGGATGTTTTTGAGAAAAATCGCTTTGTTCACATTCTAAATTGCTACTTTGTGTTGGACACAGAAGCAGCATTACTAGAGGTTTCAACCTGAGTTTTCCAGATAAGTAAATTTTATACTTTACCTTCATTAAGGATTTTGATTTCTAAGTACTAGTAATCTTTCTGAGATAAATCAAACATGTCCATGTCTTCTTATATAAAAGCTACCAAGTATAATTTTTTATTAATTATTTAGGATCATCATTAAGCATACTTTTTCTTGTACTATACATGTCACTATAGTTGTTTCTTTTCCTTATTGTTTCAGCTTTTTGCCTTTTTTTTTTTTTAGATTTTATTTATTTATTTGACAGACAGAGATCTCAAGTAGGCCAAGAGGCAGGCAGAGAGAGAGAGGAAGGGAAGCAGGCTCCCTGCTGGGCAGAGAGCCTGATGCGGGGCTCGATCCCAGAACCCTGAGCCGAAGGCAGAGGCTTTAACCCACTGAGCCAACAAGGTGCCCCTCAGCTTTTTGCCTTTAAAAATATCTTCATACTAATTTTCTAAAGGGATAAGGATTATAAAACCAAACCACTGTGAACAAAAATTTTCTCCCATATAAAAAAGGAGAATTTAAAAGTACTAATAGCAAACAATTACATAGTATAAATTTTAAGTACTTCGGTACCATTTTAAGTGTTTCTTATATGTCAACTCATTTATTGCTCCTATCAACCTTATAGGTAGGTGTGTTTTGATGATTCCCACTATAAAGATAATGGAAGTGGGACAAAGAGAGATTAAAAACTTGCCCAAGATCAAATAGCTAGTGAGGAGGTAAGGAAGGGGGAGAGGAGTGAAGGAGGGGGAGAGGAAAAGGAAAGGGGTAGGAAGAGGTATAGGTACAGAGAGAAACAGAGAAAGACAGAGAAAGAGTGACAGACAGAGGGAGAAAAAGAAAGAAAGAAAATCACAATCAGTAATGGTCTGCTTAAGAGCCCAAGTGTTAAGTATTTTATACTAGGGCAACTGACATTTGATGATTTTCTTTTTAATTCACATTTGTATTCTAACAGATTAGATATTTGCAGAGAGTTTAGAGGCTATATGCCACATAGGATGTACATAAAATCACCTAAACATAACTGAGAAGAAAAATTTAATTTGATCTAATTTGGCTAAGAGCTTTACCAATTACATGTTAAACTAGTTTATGTCTATTAAATTGGAGTTAAAAGTTACTTTATTTCAAACTTAATGGTTATTAAGTAAGAATTTTATACTTACCTATCTGCCAGTTCCTTTCTTTGGCTTCATTATAAAACTGATGTAGTACAAGGAAGTCAATGACATCTGGCATGTCATGATACCTATACAAGAAATAAAGCACATATGAATCAATATACAAATAGAGCACCATATGTCACTAAATATCCAGAGATATATGTTTAATGTGGAGCCATTTAAAAACTGTTGAAAGCCTCAAGGTTTCTGCAAATGGCTTTAATTAAACTCCATCTGCTTTTATTTGTTTGGGAGTCCCCCACCTACTACGATATCACTTCAAAAACATAAAGACACCAATGAAGATCCTTAAAGCTTAATATAAGGTATTATATATTAAGACCTCTTTAAGAAAGGTATGAATTGATGTTCTTTCAACTCCTTAGATTTCAAACTTTAAGAAATGAGCCACTGATTAGCTATTCCTATTATTATTAACAGAAATAAAAGAAACTACCATGTCTCAACCACACTCATATATTTTATTTATATATATATATAATCTCCAATTGACCCTTGAACAATATGGGTTTGAACTGTGCAGGTCCATATGCAGATTTTTTTCAATAAATATAGTACTGTAAATATATTTTCTCTCCCTTATGATTTTCTTCTTTTTCTCTTTTTTTTAGATTTTTTTTTTCATTTGTCAGAGATAGAGCACAAGCAGGGAAAGCAGCAGGTAGAGCAGGCAGAGCAGGCAGAAGCAGGTTCCCTGTTGAGCAGGGAGCCCAGTGTGGGACTGGATCCCACTGGGATCATGACCTGAGCCGAAAGCAGATGCTTAATTGACTGAACCACCCAGGCATCCCATCCCTTATGATTTTCTTAACAATGTTTCATTTTCTCTAGCTTACTTTATTGTAAGAATACTAAATATAATACATATTAGTCAAAAGTTTTTGTTGTCAGTAAGGCTTCTGCTCAATAGCAGGTACTAAGTTATGGGGAATCAAAAGCTATATATATATGCAGATTTTCAACTGTGTGGGAGTCAGTTCCCATAACCCCTTACATTGTTCAAGAGTTAACTGTATACACACACACACACACTACATTACATATATATTAGCTATACACATGCATGCATACACATGCAAGTTATTATATCTACACACACACACACATACACACACGCACACACTGTTATGCGGAGAAACAAACCAGAAATTAAACATTAAACCCTGGTTTTTATTTATTTATTTTTAAAATTTAAATTCAATTAGCCAACATATAGTACATCATTAGTTTTTGATGTAGTGTTCAATGATTCATTAGTTGCATATACACCCAGTGCACATCAGGTCTTTAAAAATTTAAAGCCTATAGTGCTATAGTATTTTCTCTCCCATTAAGCCCTGTACTCCACAGAATACATGATAGGGATTAAAACACACAGACACACAGACACAGAGATAGCTACTCACTTAATGGAAAAAGATTCTCCAGTCATTTTGCCTGAAATGGGGTCCAGAAATGCAAGCTTCAAGCAACATAGTGTAGGTGGTCCAACCTCATATTTGATTCCTACAATCTTAACAAATTCTTGTTCCTATTCATGAGAATACCAATAAATTATTATTTTCAATATAAATAATTGCCTGACATTTGCATATTATTTCACTATTTTTCAAACAATTAAAAATTATCTGAATATCCACCAAATACTAAGCATTCCACTAAAGTGCTAAAGACAATAAGAGATGGTTCTTGACCTTTAATACTTAACAGCAGGCTGTAGCATAATGCAGGGCTCTAAACCAAGGATAAGCAACTGAATCCCCTTAAGAACATTTTTAAAATTCATATTCTTAAACCCTACTCCTATAGAATTGAATTCAGTAGGTCTGGGGTACAAGCTTAGTCATGGATATTTTGAAAGACCTCCCCAGGGGACTTAAAAATCAAGTAACGAGTGAGGAAGTAGGGAAGGGAGGGAGGAGTGAGGAGGGGGGGGAAGAGATAAGGGTGGAAAGAGGTAGAGGTACAGAGAAACAGAGAGAGATGGAGAAAAACAAGAATGACAAAGAGGGAGAAAAATGAAAGAAAGGAAACCACAATCAGTAATGGTCTGCTTAAGAGCCCAAGTGTTAAGTATTTTACATTAGGGCAACTGACATTTGATAACTGTTAAGATTCTTAGTTAAGAATTACTCCTTCAGCAGAAATACAGTATGTAAGAAGGCAGGTAGAAATGTATGTATACATTTGGGGAAAGGACTTATATTTTTTTAATGCCCACAATATTATTTTACAAACCATCCTTGTAACTGATTATTAGTAACACTTAACAGATGACAAAACTGAGAGTCATTGGTATAGTGACTTGCTTAAAGTCATGTACTTGGGGATGTGTATATATATATCAGATCTGGATTGAAATTCAGGTTATATTCCAAAACCCACACTCTTGCACCCACACAAATGCTGCCTCATATAATTTCCTAGAGCCACAATGTTAGAATTTAAAAAATGAAAAATCGTGTTTTATTCATTCTTGATTTAAAAAAAAAAACAAAAACAACCACAACTCAGCTTTCACCTGATTCAGAACAGATGGTGGTATCACTATCTACCAGGAGATGACTGTGTAAAGATTACTTGATAAGATACTTTGGTACCTTACAACATTAATGTAATATTTTACAAGTGTCTATATCTTTATTTAAATAAATATACCTGCTTTCATGTATCCTTCCAGCTAAACATCATCATACAACAATCCTTCATTTACCTGGAAACCACTCTAAAATTGCTCTTTAGTCTCTTTTTCTCCAACTTGGAAAAATAAAAGAAGAAAACACCCATAAACCTAACTAGAAATGATGGTGTATGTATACTTATGTCTGTTTCTTTGTATGTATCTATGTATACATGGATGAATGAATGAATGAATATGTATTTATAGTCAGAAAAAACTCCCCTAAAAATAAACATATCTATCTTACTTAATACAATGTAGCTATAAGGTAATATATCAAAATAGGTAATCCATAAAACACCATAAAATTCTGAGTTTCTTGGGATTTATATTTACTAATATCTTAATGTCACTGTAACCTCAAGGATGTCTGTAGTCCACACATGCACTCAGCTTCCAGAGCTTCCAGAATGTACAAAGCTGCTGAGGAAAATATCCATACCAGGGAACTGCTGTTTTGCTCCAAATATAGAAAGGCATATACACTAAATAATTTGAAGCTTGAAGGTAATTAGGTCAAATAATCAAGACAACAGGTAGCATACAAATTTCGGGAAACATAAAATATGACCCATAACACTCAATTGTATCAGAGTATGGTACATCATGTTATCTTAGACACACAATCAACACTGAAATATGTATGACACAAAAACATATAAGTAAATAACTTAATTCCAAAGTTATTTCAACTGCACACTTATGAATATGTCAAATTTACCCTGAGATCCATTTTATTCCATGGCTGTTTTTGTAAATTAAGGCTGTATATTTTTGACTTCCTTACAGCCCTCACATAAGCTTCATGTCCTTGCCTGAAATAGATAAGCTAAAACAAAAAACATATGGTATTAAACAGCAGCATCTTATTTAACAACTCTATATATCCCAATATATACTCTTACAAATGTCTTCTTCTGTTTAAAACAAACATATTTATAATTTTAAAAAATGTATAATAAAGGTATTTGTCATCATTAAATAATGTTCATTCAGTACTCATAACTGTGTTGCCCTGCACTAAGTACTATATATAAATAGACACTGTATACACAATCTTTTTCCCCCTAGCTGCTTCAAAAATTTCTGAAGAAACAGGGATCAATGACGAATTGTACAGAACACTGGTCATATTTTAAAGTACTATATTTTAAACTGTAATTAACATTCTAAACATCAACATTTTAATAGTCAGCCTACACATTTTTTGTATGTGTGTATGTATGTGTGTGTGTGTGTGTGTGTGGGTACACATATATATACACATATATAAAATTCTAACTACAGGCTACTAAATAGAGTAATTTCCAAATAGACTAGAATTTTTATTTTTAAGAATTAACATCAGAACCGGCATAGTATGGAAAGAAAATGAATTCAAGTGCTTAGTTAACACATTTCACCTCCTTAGGACAGCATTCATATTCTGATTCGTTAAAAAAGGTTTCTTGTTCTCAATAATTTTAAAGTGGTAGTAGAGTTAATAAAATTTAAAAAAATGTAACATTGAAAAATACTGAGATTTAAAAAATACACTGACATACTCTACTAATCAACAGTGTCTTTTTTTAATTTTTATTTTTTAAAGATTTATTTGTTTATTTATTTGACCCAGAGAGAGAGAGAAATAGTGAGAGAGGGAACACAAGCAGTGGGAGTGAGAGAATGAGAAGCAGACTTCCCACTGAGCAGGGAGCCTGATGTGGGACTTGATCCCAGAACCCTGGGATCATGACCTGAGCTAAAGGCAGACACTTAATCAACTGAGCCACCCAGGCACCCCCAATCAACAGTGTCTAAGTCAGAATTTTTAATACTTAAGAATACAAGTAGAACACTAAAAAGATTTAAATACTATTATATAAACATAATTATAAGGGTAAAATATCAATAATAAACATGTTATTCATATACCATTTATTATATATTTATTCCTGTACTCAACAAATATTGATCGAACGTGTGTATAAGGCATTAGGTGCTGTGGTTAACATATCAAAATAAAATCCTTTCCCTCAAGGATATGGGCAGACATGTGAGTATAAAATAAGGCAGAATATACCAAGTATCATAAGAGATAAATAAATTAGGTGTGAAAGCTCAGGAGGAAAGAGTGGTAAGCAAATGGCAAGCAGGAGAAGTTGGCATTTAAGTTAGACTTTGGCCAATGAGCATTTTCATTTCTGTGGGTATGGCCAGTCCAGGCAAAATACTGAAGGTTTAACATTTAAAGTAAAAAGTAATGCTGTCATTAAGAGCTGATTTTATAAAAAGTATGAGTTTTATGAGTTCTTTAAAAACATTATTAATGTATTTCACTAATTCACTTATATACCTCCTCCAATATCTGAACAACTGTCATTACCTAATACACACTAGTCTTGAAGCATATAAGCATATGATAAGTTTAGTGACTCCACCAAGATAAATATGATCCTATAGAGAGGAGTCTCATAATATCAAAGAATATACATATCCTTGTGTTGCTTTATAAAGTGATCTTTTTGTACAGACTTGTTTATTTATTTATTTATTAGAGAATGAGAGAGAGAGAGAGAGAGAGAGCGTGAGCAGGGGGAATGGGCAGAGGGAGAGAAAATCTCAAAGAAGACTCCCCGTTGAGTGCAGAGCCCAACATGGGGTTCAATCTCATAAATGAGATCATGATCTGGGTCAAAATCAAGAGCCAGATACTTAACTGACTGAGCCATACAAGTTCCCCACATCCTATAAAGTCTCCTAAAATTAATTAAAAATTACTCCCTTTAGAGGAAGGTGGCAGCCGAGTAGGATGACCCAAGGCTTGCATGGTCCCCAAAACACAAATAGATAACTATCAAATCATCCTAAATATCCCAGAAATAGATCTCAAGAATGACAGAACAAACTCCAAAACTAAAGGTAGAGAAGAGGCCTCACTGAAGAAGGTAGGAAGGAAGGAAGTATGGAGACACGTAAATGTAAAAAAAAATGATTTCACATTTTTACATTTAAATTCAATGTCTTCCTTCCCATATGTTCATCTGCTTTGCTTCTTAAATTCCACATATGAGTGAAACCATATAGTATTTGTATTTATCTGACTTAGTTCACTTAGCATAATATACTCTAGCTCCATCCATATTGCTGCAAATGGCCAGATATCATTCTTTTTGATGGCTGAGTAATAGTACATTGCATACACATGCCACTTCTTCTCTACCCATTCATCAAAGGCCATTTGGTCACTTTTCATAATTAGGCTATTATTGATAATGCTGCTATAAACATTGGGATACAAGTGCTCCTTTGAATCAGTAATTCTGTATCTTTTAGATAAATACCTAGTAGAAATCTTCAATCTTAGGGTAGTTCTATTTTCAACTTTTTGAGAAACCTCCATACTGTTTTCCAGAGTGGCTATACCAATTTCCATTCCCACCAACAGTGCAAGAGGGTTCCCCTTTCTCCACATCCTCTCCAACATATGTTGTTTTTAAGTTGTTAATTTTAGCCATTCTGACAGATGTGAGGTGGTATCTCATTGTGGTTTTGATTTGCACCTCCCTGATCATGAGTGATGTTGAATATTTTAACACATGTCAGACTTCTGAAGATCTTGTTTGGAAAAATGTCTATTCATGTGTTCTGCCCATTTCTTAACTGGATTATTTGGCTTTTGGGTGTCACTTTTTGTTAGTTCCTTATATATTATGGATAATAACCCTTTATCAGATACGTCATTTACAAATATCTTCTATCATTCTGTGGGTTGCCTTTTAGTTTTGTTGATTGCTTCCTTTGCCGTGAAGAAGCTTTTTAACTTGAAGAGGTCCCAATAGTTCATTTTTGCTTTTCTTTCCCTTGCCTCCTGAAACGTGTCTAGAAAGAAGTTGCTATGGCTGATGACAAAGACACTTCTCCCTTGTTCTCCTCTAGGAATGTGATGGATTCCTGTCTCACATTTAAGTCTTTAACCCATTTTGATTTTAGTTTAATATCTGGTGTACGAAGGTGGTCCAGTTTCATTCTTTTGCATGTTGCTCTCCAGTTTTCCCAACACCATGAGTTGAAGTGACTGTCTTTTTTTCCACAGGATATTCTTTCTGCTTTGTCAAAGATTAGTTGACCATCTAGTTGTGGGTTCATTTCTGGGTTCTCTATTATGTACTACTGATCTATGTGTCTGTTTTTGTGCCAGTCACATACTGTCGTCATTGCTACAGCTTTGTAATACAGCTTGAAGTCTGGAATTGTGAGGCCTCCAACTTTGCTTTTCTTTTTCAAGATGCCTTTGGTTATTCGGAGTCTTTTGTGGTTCCATACTAGTTTTAGGATTGTTTTTTCTTGCTCAGTGAAAAATGCTGGTAGTATTTTGATAGGGAATGCATTAAATGTATAGATTGCTTTGGGTAGTATACACATTTTAACAATACTAGTTTTTCCAACCCATGAGCATGGGATATTTTTCAATTCCTTTGTATCCTCTTCAATTTCTTTCGTAAGTATTCTAGCTTTTATAGTGCAGATCTCTTAATTCTGTGGTTAGGTTTATTCATAAGTATCTTTTGGTTTTTGGTAAATGGGATGGATTCCTTGATTTCTTTCTGCTGCTTCATTATGGTGTTTAGAAATACAACATGTTTCTATACATTGATTGTGTATCCTTCAACTTTATTGAATTCATGTACCAGTTCGAGGAATTTTTAGTGGGGTCGTTTGGGCTTCCTACAGAGTATTATGACATTTGTGAATAGTGAAAGTTAGTTCTTCCTCACTGAGTTGGATGCTTTTTATTATTATTATTTTTTTTGTCTATTTCCTGTGGCTAGGACTTCCAGGTATGTCAAATAATGGTGAAGAGACTGGACATCCATCCCTGTCTTCTTCCTGACTGAAAAGGAAAAACTGTTTTTCCCATTGATGGTATTAGCAGTGGGTCTTTCACATAAAGCTTTTATGATGTTGAGGTATGTTCCCTCTATCCCTACTTTGTTGAGGGTTTTTTTCAAGAAAGGATGCTATACTTTGTCATATGCTTTTTCTGCATCTATTGAGAGGTCATATGGTTCTTATTCTTTATTAATATGGTGCTATCATGTTGATTCATTTACAAATATTTCATTACCCTTGCAGCCCAGGAATAAATCCCACTTGATTGTGGTGAATATTCTTTTAATGTATTCTTGGAGTCAATCTGCTAGCATCTTCTTGAGAATTTTTGCATCCATGTTCATCAGGGATACAGGCTTATACTTCTCCACTTCTCCATTTTGGTCTTTTTTTTTTTTTTTTTTTTTAAAGAGAGAGAGCAGGGGTAAGAGAGGAGGGAGAGGAACAAGCTGACTCCACACTGAGTGTGGAGTCCAGAGTAGGGATCAAACTCACAACCCTGAGATCACAACTTCAACTGAAACTAAGAGTTAGTGCTTACCCGATTTAGCCACCCAGGTGCCCCCATAGTGGGGTCTTTGTCTGATTTTGGAATCAAGGCAAGCCTGGCCTCGTAAAATGAGTCTGGAAGTTTCCCTTCCATTTCTATTTTTGCAAAAGTTTAAGGAAAATGGGTATTAACTCTTCTTTAAATGACTGGTAGAATTTCCCTGTGAAGCCATCTGGCCCTGGACTTTTGTTTGTTAGATATGTGATTACTGATTCAATTTCTTTGGTGGTTTTTGGTCTCTTCAAGTTTTCTATTTGTTCCTTATTTCAGTTTTGATAGTTAATGTGTTCTAGGAATTTATCCATTTCTCCTATATTTCCCAATTTGGGCCATACAATTTTTCACAATACTCCCTTATATTTTTTTAAAATATTTTTTGTGGAGTTGTGATCTCTCCTCTTTCATTC